AATTATTTTTAGTGAAATGACCTGACATTATGCATTTATTCATTTGTTGAATATTCATCTCATTAGAAGGTTGACTCTGGTTCAGGGATTTAAAAAAAATTTTTGTTGGGGGTGTTTGCTGACGTTTATTGGAGGTGCCTTTTCAGGACAAGAAGACAGGGCAACAGTGGCTGCTATGGGGAGTCTAGAGTAATGCACACTTTTTTGGGAGGGTACTGGCAATTGAACCCAAGGATACTTTACCACTCAGCTATATCCTTAACTCAATTTTATTTTGAGCCAGGTGGGTGATGCATGCCTGTAATCCCAGCGACACAGGAGGCCGAGGCAGGAGGATTACAAGTTCAAAGCCTCATTTTAGAGCTTATCTTAAAGAATAAAAAGGGCTGAAGATATGGCTCATTCATTAAGTGGATTAATCCCTGATATCAAAAATAAGAATAATAAAAGTAAAATATAAATAAAATTTAAAAAAGGACTAAGGATGTACTTCAGTGGTAAAGCACCCTTGAGTTCAATCCTCAGTACCAAAAAAATTTTGAGACAGGGTATTGCTAAATGGCTAAGTCTTGAATTTGTGATCCTCCAGCCTCAGCCTCCTAAGTCTGCCACTGCAGGGCATCGATCAATTATTATTTTTTTTGGAGCAGTAGTAAGAGATGGGAATTAGAGCTTTTAAAAGTAGCAAAAGGTATTGTTGGTCCTCTTTTCATTTTGTAGAAATTGGGGAGAAAAGTTTGGTTCTTTGAAAAGTTCTTAGTTTCAGTTCCCTTTCTTTCAGATTCAGTGCAGGTTCAGTGATCTGTCTTGCTCATTGCAGAATCCCCTGCATCAAGACAGTATCCAGTACATAGTAGATTATCAGTAAAGACTGGCTGAATGAAGGAGTGAATGAAGCTGTAGTGTCCAAAGAATGTTATAGTCAAGAGATTCAAGCAGGGTGGCAGGGCGGCAGGGCCCTGCTTCCTATCCTTGTAGCATGTCCCTCACAGGCTGGGGTAAGCTATCCTTACCATGAGTGGCACTTGTGGTGCAACAGCCAATGTTCCTTGACATATGGCAGTTTATTATGGCTCCTCACTGGTATTTGTCCTTCTAGACTCTCCAACTCTTTTTTTTTATATACCCTGTGGCCAGAAGGATATATCTTTCTAACCCATGTATATGGCCCTGTCCCTTCTCTCTAGAGCTCTCAGAATCAAGGCCAAGCCACTTGTGTTGACCTTCAACAACCGTTGCTAATCTTCTCAGGCCTGTCTTCACCTTGCTGGCCTTTGGGCCACATGTACCACCTGGCGAGTTCCTGTGACATTTATCAGTAATCACCTTTTCTAAGAAAAAGTGCTCTTCTTTAGGATGTGATCTTTCACATGCATTTGTTTTTTTTTCTTTCTTTCCCTCCCTTCCTTTCTATTGCCCCACCCCTCTCTTTCTGTACAGGGATTGAAGCCAGGGGTGCTTTGCCATTAGCTGCATTTCCAACTCTTTATATTTTAAATTTTCAGACAAGTTGCTAAGTTGCTGAGTCTGACTTTGAACTTACGGGACTCCTGCTTCAGTCTCCCAAACTGCTGGGATTACAGGTATAGGCCACTGCACTTGGCTGAACCTGTTTTCTCTTGAACCTGTGTTTGAATGGGGAGGACTTTGCTTCCAGTAAAACCAATGTAATGTGTTCAACTTAAACTTTGGTGCTGCAGGAACATGCACCGAGGGGAGTGTGAGAGGAAGTATGTATTATGTGTGTGATGCTTAGAACCATCAGTGGACTCCTCCTCATTGCCAACTTTCTGATGGTAAGGGAGGTGAGCATGTAGGTTATGGTGGGCTGATACTATGTCCCTTTCTTTTGTTTCTGGGTAACACTATCCAGGACCACTCTTGTTGAGCCCATGTGGCATCCAACCAGTGTTATCCTAGTTACACACATATTCAGACTAAGCCCCTCAATCTACTGGCTGCTATAGTTAACTGACGTCCTCTCAGAGTGTTAGCACTTTGGTTAGGGACATAAGAGACAAGGGAAATGCAGTGATTCAGAGCTGGAATCCTCATTCCTACGAGCGGTTTTTGTCTGAAGCTCAGTGAATACAAGTGACACCTTGGGCAGGTTAATGAGCATACTGCCAATTGTGAACTCAGAAGGAAACAAAGTTTATGAAGAATCTTTTTTCACTGTCTTATTGAACTTCCATGTCTTGACTATTACTATTTTATAGGCACTATGCTAAGCACTTAACATGCATAATCTCATTTAGTTCTTAATCCCATGAGATATGTGTATTTATTCCTACTTTACTGTGGGGAAAACAGGTTTTCAGAAATTATTTTGGCAGCCTACCCTGCTAGTGAGTGATGAAATAATTAAACGCATGTCCTTCTATCTCCTAGTCCCAAATTGCAACCAACATTCCCAGAGTCCCATTCCTGCCTTCAAAAACTGACAAATTGCTTGCAGAGTTTATGTGTATAGGAAATATGTCTGATTAACATTAATAGTAATGGTATAACTTTCTATTTAAAAATGCTCTAGAACTTACAAAACATTTAGAAAATAAGGAATAATGGGAAAAGCAGGAAGTTGAGGGATCTCAGATTTGAATCCCATATCCTCTGTCTCCTAGCTGTGTGACTTAGGAAAGTCAAGTCCCTTCTCTCGGGGGATATCAAAAAGATGTGCACCTCACCAACCCATAGGGGAAATCAGTGCTCTGAGAAGGGCAGTGACTTGCTTGTGTCCCCCAGGGAGATCAAGACAAAGCCTGCTGGTTTCTGAAGACTGCCACCATGGTTTCTACCTGGGAAGGTAGGAATGGGAGCATTTGACTTTCTGGGAATCCACATTATACCCTTCTCCTTTAATACCCACCCATCCACACCCCTTTATGAGCCTCAGAGGCTCAAGCCTCTGAGCTTTGACCCTAGGTAGGCAAGAATCTCCAGGTCTCAGCTCAGGTTTACCCTTGCTCCCCTGACAAGAGCCAGAATGATTGGTGGAGGTAAGATGCCTGGATGTGTTATCCTCACTCAACAAAGTAACTATTGAATTGCTGAAGTGAGACTATGCCTTTTGGGGCCAGATGGACCACAGATTGCCAGAACATGGGGCGAGCTACTTTATCTCTTTATTATGGCTTCTCTATAAGAGAAATAGTGATAGGGTTATGAAACTTAAATGAGTTAAGAATTGTGAAGTGGAGGCTGGGGTTGTGGCTCAATGGTAGAGCACTTGCCTATCATGTGTGAAGCACTAGGTTTGATTCTCAGCACCACATATAAATAAAGGTCCAGCAACAACTAATAAAATAAAAAAAAAAAAAAAAAGAATTGTGCCTGGGCCAGACCTCCCACAAAGTCTTTGAGCCAATATTTCCCTAGATATGGCTTCTTGCACCACTTTTGTCTTGCCACCTGCCTAAGATAGTCAAATGTCCCTTTCATGGGATAGAGGCCAGATCCATCTGCCGAGAAGGATTGAGTTGATGTCACCTCTCAGTCCTGGCTACCCATTTTTTTAAAAAATATATTTTTAGTTGTAGATGGACAGAATACCTTTGTTTTATTTATTTATTTCCTGTGTGGTGCTGAGGTTCGAATCTAAGGCCTCAAACGTGGCAGGCAAGTGCTCCACTGCTGAGCTACAACCCCAACCCTGGATACCCACTCTTATGGATGAGAGGGTCAAGTGACCAGAATCTTCAATCCTACTTGGAACTGATGGAAATTTCAAATGTAATCTAAATTCTGGATGGTGGATTTTGAGCCTAAGTGAAGTGACTTGTAGTTTCAGAGATCACCTCCAAATACATCACAGTCCCCACACCCTTCCTGTTACTCAAGGCCATGTCTGAGCTGTCAGAAATGGCAGAGAAGGGGCTGGGGATGTGGCTTAAGCGGTAGCGTGCTTGCCTGGCATGCCTGTGGCCCAGGTTCGATCCTCAGCACCACATGCAAACAAAGATGTTGTGTCCGCCGAAAACTAAAAAATAAATATTAAAATTTTCTCTCTGTCTCTCTCATTCTTTCTTAAAAAAAAAAAAAGAAAAGAAACGGCAGAGAAGAAATCAGAGACTCAGAGACAAAAAGAACTGGGGAAATAAGACTTACCTCTATTTCTCAATATCCCAGTAAAGAATACTACTCTTCCTGAGACTTCCCTGCTAACAGAATTAGATCTATAGTTATTTGTATAGGTAATTGCTCTTTTTTAAGTTAATATTTTTTTTTTTAGTTATAGGTGGACACAATACTTTATATTTATGTGGTGCTGAGGATTGAACCTAGTACCTCATGCATGTTAGGCGAGTGCTCTATCTCTGAGCCACAATCCCAGCCTTAGGTATTTGCTCTTTATGCAAAAGAATAAAGTTTTTTCCTTCCTGAGAAGACCAAATGGTTACAGCCTGAGCAATGTCTCTAGGTTCAGCCTCCAAGGTGCCAAGAAGCCAAGTGTAGCTATTTTTTAAAGCAGGTCAGTGTGAGCTTGTACTGTCAGCATGGAGCATGCAAAAGGAATGAATTCTCAAACTTGGAGACAAGTCCTGGGACTAGTCATAAAAGCTAAAACATGCAAGGGGCTATCTGATTCCTGGTGAGATTTTATGTACCTACTGAAGACTTGGAGTAGGGGGGAAATATTCAAGCAGAGGAGGGTGACAACTGCTTCCTCCTCTTCCCCCCCACCCCAGACATTGAGTCCAGGGGTGCTTAACTTCTGAGCCACATCCTCAGCCCTTTTTATTTTTTAGAGACAGGGTCTCACTAAGTTGCTTAGGGTCTTGCTAAATTGCTGAGACTGGCTTTGAACTCATGATCCGCTTACCTCAGCCTCCTGAGCTGCTTGGGTTACAGGGGTGCACACTGTGCCTGCTTCCTTCCCCTTTTTAAGCAAGGAAAATAGTGTTTTCTTGTTGCTTACCAATGGGGAATCTGGTTACTTACATAGGTTAAATGACCTGGCTTTTATCACATCATCCTAGGGCCAAGGTGGTCCAGAGCATTTAATAAAAATCTGATGATTGATTCAGAATATCTCATGTGCACATTTAAGGTACTGAATATTAAAAACCCAAGAGAGAGGCAAAGAGAGAGTCCAAAGGGGAGAGATTAAGAGACTGAAACAGAAACTCAGACTGAAAGGGACAGAGAGAGTTCAAGGTAGGAATGAGCAAAACTGGGTAAAGGCTGAGCAAAGCTGAGACTGAGGCCAGATGAGAGGGACTGAGTCTGAGTCTGTGTTTATTACATTCTTTGAGTATTCATTGAGCCACTATGGTGGGACACATCATTTTTAGCTGGAGTCAAGCATTGAACAAAATTTATATTCTGGTAGGAGAAGACAGACAATAAACCAATGAACAAGTAAAATGCATTGCATGTCAGATGGAGATAAATGCTATGGAGAAAAATAAGCAGGAGAGGTGTTGGGGAGATAAGAGTTATAAAATCAGGGAGTTGCTGGGTGTGGTAGTATGGTACTATGTCCTATAGTTCAAGCTACTTGGGAGGTTGAGGCAGGAGGATACTGAGTTTGAGCTCAGCCTAGCCTACGTAGTGTGATGCTGTCTTAAAAAAAAATGGTCTCAAGGAAAATGTGACATTGAGTACAGATCTGAGAGGAAAAGGAAGAAGTCTTATAATATCTGGGTTTAAGAGTCTTCCAGTCAAGAAGTGGCAAGTGCAAAGTCCCTGAAGAATAAGGGGGAGGGAGAGTTGAGAAACAGATCAGAGCAATGAAAGGGGTCAAAGGGGTAGGGTAGGCCTCAGGAGGACTTTGGTTTTTTATTCTGAATGAAATTTAAACTGAAACTTGAAAGATAAGCTTACAGGAAGGCCTGAGGCTCCCAAGGAAGAATTGAGTTGTGGGCTTCAGGCTCTGGATTCAGTCCATTCATTTATTCATCTGTTTAACTTCCAATCTCCAAGCATTTAGGGGAGCCCACTTTGTTTCAGGGCTTGTGCTGGCATTAGGGAAGAAATCCTTTTCCTTTAGCTCAGAAGAAACTGTTTCAGGGTTTCAAGCCCTCCTGCAAGATAATAACATCATTGTGACTTGATGAGCAGTAAACTTGGGAAATGAGTGTGTGGCAAACTGGGGAGGGGTTATAGGCAAGGAGGAAGGAATCCATAGGGTGTGGAGGTGGACGTGAAGAAGGGGAGAGCTCTCCCAGTTTTCTGGCTTTTCTGTGGTGTAGAAGGCTCTGTCTCCAGTCTGGGCTGGGAAGAGAGCAGCTGATGGGCCAGGACAGGTGGCCCTGATATGAGATGCCTGCCTGCTGACTACTCAACCCTCACTTTTAGAACAGTTTCCAGAAGTGATGGGAGGGGATGGGCAGGACAGCTAAATATAGTCCTGGGGCCACGGCTTAATCTGGGAGGGTCTGACTTCTGTTCACTATGTGCCCATCATCTGTGGTGTCCACTGCCAGCTGCCCCTATAAGATCCCTGTCCTTGCTTTGAGTCTGCCTGTTGTGTATCTGACTCTCCTACGGTAGGGTTGATCCTTACTGGTCCTCCTGGGAGTCTCTTTTGTTCTAAGATCTCCAACCAGACCTGTGAGTCCTGTGGGCCTGGAGATATGGGGGAGGGGTGGGCTGGGGATCCAAGAAATGAGTGAGAGGAGGGTAAGGGGTGAATTTCTAGAGGATTTGGGGCTGGGGGTTGACCAGGCCTGAGTTAGAGGCTGATGCCTAGGGCAAGGATGGGCAAGAATAGTGGGCAAGACTGTTTGCAGCCTGACTTTGTGTTTAGGAACTGGGTTGTTAAGGGTACTGATATGTGAGTGAGTGTGTGTGTTTAATATTTTAAAAAATGTGTTATTTTTAGATATACCTGACAACAGAGTATATTTTGACATATTATACATACATGGATGGCAGATATATTTTTTAATGAAGAAATGTTTGAATTTGCCTTTGTGACTGAAATTGAGTTCTCTTTCCCCTTGGCCCAAACCAGAGTCCCTTCCAGTATGGGATGTGACGTCTTTTTAGGCTGCAACTCCTTCCTTTGAACACAGACTAGGACTCAGCCAAGGCCCTTGGGCCTCCCTGACCCACCTTTTCTCCTCCCAGGTTCCCCATGTCTGCTGCACCAGGTCTCCTGCACCAGGAGCTGTCCTGCCCATTGTGCCTGCAGCTGTTCGACGCTCCTGTGACCGCTGAGTGCGGCCATAGTTTCTGCCGCGCCTGCCTGGGCCGTGTGGCAGGGGAGCCAGCAGCAGATGGCACAGTGCTTTGCCCCTGTTGTCAGGCACCCACACGGCCGCAGGCGCTTAACATCAACCTGCAGCTGGCTCGCCTGGTGGAAGGTCTGGCACAGGTGCCACAAGGCCACTGCGAGGAACACCTGGATCCTCTGAGCATCTACTGTGAGCAGGACAGAGCACTGGTGTGCGGTGTTTGTGCCTCTCTTGGTTCACACCGCGGCCACCGCCTGCTGCCTGCGGCCGAGGCCCATGCACGCCTCAAGGTGCTGGACCCTGCAGGGTTCAGGGTGGGATGGATTTGTTGGATAGCATGGGGCCTGAAGGATCAGGAAGTTGCTGCATTGATTTGAATCTGACTTCAGAGGTCCCTGGGCTCCTGGAATTGCTAGGGGAAGCAGATGGGGCAAGGTGGCCAGTGTAGGGGGGCGGGCTGGGAGCAGTGCTGCTCAACTAGATTTCCCAGTGGCAGTCCCAGGAGTAACGTAGAATTGTGGGGGCAGAGTCTGCTGAACTGAGGGCTAAGCCTGATGGCCCATGTGCCATTGGATGACCCGGGTGGTCCTGTCAGGCTGGCAAGTAAGTGTGGCGTGGGATCCCATAAAAGTAGAGGATTGAGATTTGAGGCATGGCCAGGAGGCGGGGCACATGCTCTCTTGTAGTGCACAGCTGCTTGGCTGAGGCCCATGCACCCAACACAAACTTAAGCTGCCAAACTCACATGCCTGAGAGTCACCACATGGGGCTTAACAGAAAGGGAGAAAGGGAGGCAGGAAGGACAAGGCATGCCTAGGCCTGCACCTCAGTACGCAGGCCTAGGGTGGCATCCAAGAGCATAGTCCAGGTTGCTTTTCTGGAGGAGCTATAAGTCCTTAATACCTCCACAACTCACGCACAGTTGTATGTGTCCCAAGTTTTGCAAACCTCATGGGCACCCAGGAAAGATACAAACATTGACGAATGGAGACAATGGCACACATTAGCTTGCGCATATTATACGAATGCAAATCACATGCATGTAGCTGCCAAAAGATCCAAAGGGTCCAGGAAGGTCTGTTTTGAAGTATTTATTGGGTTATAAACGACAGGTGCAGGTTTGGGGGAAGTGGAGTCTGGAGGCAAGGGTGGATTCCTAGATTGATCTCTGCTGAGGGGACGAAGTCATTGTCTTCCCCTACTGTTGTGTATGCTGGGCCAGGGTGGAGGTGGGTGCTTCATCAGCATTTTGTTGCTCCTCTTCTTAGCCCCCAGTCTCCTAGAGAGGGTAGATAACCGTATTTATGCTGGTATTTGAGGCCTCTAGACTTCCCGAGGGGAGTAGCCTAACAGCCCCTCCCACTTCTGCTTTTCTGCAGTCAGTCCAGTCCTGGTTGGTGGTCTCCTAGCCCATGGCAGGAGCCTCCTCCCAGGGGCCTGCCCAGTCCATGCTCTCACCTCTGCTGATGACTCCAGAACTCCCAAACTCGCCCATCTTTTATCTGTGAAGATAGAACAAAACCCATTAAATGGAACAGGGTGTTAGGCGACCCAGGAACCTCAAAGGGCTCCAGGGACCCAATCATCCAGGATCCACATCAGCCCAGCGCTAAACTACAGGGAGGGGTTGGCCAGAGGTCTGAAGGGGAGCTTAAGAGGGAACCTGAAGGAGGAGGGGTCAGGAAGACTCTGGGGCAGAACTGGACACCTGGAGCCCTGCGAGCAAGAGGGGTTGGGTCCCGTGCCCCCGTACCAGACTCATACAGAATAAATGGAATCCTCCGTGCTGGAGACTCATGCAACCCCCTTAAGTCTCGTCGCCTCTTCCTGCATGCCCATGTCCAACAGCACGGCTGCGGTGAGTTCTGCTGCGTAGTCCTCACGGTAGAAGGCCACCAGCTTGTCGGTGAGGTCCACTGCGTCGAGTGGCAGGAGCGCCCCCCGCGGGATGTTCCGGCAGCCCTCGCGCAGCTGCACCGCCCCCACTTTCAGCTTGAACTTCTTGAGCTCATCCGTGGTCAGGTTTTCCAATGCCTCCAGGATGGCGTCGCGTTTCTTCCCCATGGCTCAGCTCTGCAACCTCTGAACTTCCGAAAGCCAGCTCCTTGAGCCTCCAGACCTGTCTGTCCCGCACCAGTTGGGGAGGACGTCTTAGGGAGGAGACTGATCTGGCAGCCGGCCCAGGAGGAGGCTGGCTCCTGCTGGGCGGGGACTCCGCAAACACCTAATGGGCCCCTAGGTTCCCCCTGAGAGAATAGAAAGTTCCAATTTGTTGAGGTAGGCATGGCTGCTCCCATTCTGCAGAGGAAAAAATCGAGGTTGGAAGCCATCTAGGCAGTAAGGCATGGGTGATTCTAGGACCTTGCAGCAAGAAGTGGCTTTGGCAGGAGCAATTAGGAGTTTCCCTATACTCTCATTTCACAAACTAACAGGTCTTGGGTAGGATCCAGCTGTGTTTACTTGGTCCGTGCAGGGATCATATGTATTAAATTGCCTGCTCCCAGAGCCCAGGGTGTGCAGGAAGCCTGGCTGGAAATTAGACTGATGTTCTGCTTTTAAGTAAGGTGTGAAGTCAGGAATAGGGAGAGATTACATTTCTTCTTTTCCACATCCTTTATTCACCCTGAAAGCCAATTGTGTGCCAAGTACTGTACTTCCCTGTCTGGGGGTAGAAAGGGGGAGTCCAAACAGCATGAGGGTAGGATCAGTGGAAGGTAAGGCCAGAGAGGAGTTAACAAAATTGAATGTCCAGGGCCTTAAGGCATGCAAACGTGTTTGGGGTTGAGGATGTGGCTGGAAGTAGAGCTGGCTTTGAGGTTGAGCTACAGAGGATGAGATTAGGGGGAAGGTGTGGGTTTGGAGTGGGCAGCACAAATTCCCTCTTTTGCCCTGCTTCCCAGACACAACTCCCACAGCAGAAGCTGCAGCTGCAGGAGGCCTGTATGCGCAAGGAGAAGAGTGTGGCTGTGCTGGAGCATCAGTTGATGGAAGTGGAGGTGAGGGGCTAGCATGGCAGAGCCTGCTGGTGGTCCAGGCTGGGAGTTCCCAGCCAAATGCTTTTGCTTCTCTCCCATTTCCCCCAGGAGACAGTGCGTCAGTTCCGGAGTGCTGTTGGGGAGCAGCTGGGCAAGATGCGGGTGTTCCTGGCTGCGCTGGAGGGTTCTTTAGACCGTGAGGCAGAAAAAGTTCGGGGTGAGGCAGGAGTTGCTTTGCGTCGGGAGCTGGCAGGTTTGAACTCTTACCTAGAGCAGCTGCGGCAGATGGAGAAGGTGCTGGAGGAGGTAGCTGACAAGCCACAGACTGAATTTCTCATGGTGAGTATTGAATGACTTTCTCTCCCAAGTCCCCTGGCTCAGGCTTCATCCCATTGTCAAATGGGGACCCTGAGGCCCAGAGAGGGTCAGGGATGAACCCGGGTCACATATTCAGGGAGTAGGCTTCAGGACTGTAGTTTAGGCTGGACATTGCAGAAGAATACTATCTTTAAGTCGGTACCATCCATATCACAGACATTATAGGTTTGCATAATTAGTAGCACAATTTTCTTTCTTTTTTTTACTAAAAATAATAATTATTTATTTATTCATTATTAATATAAATATTTAACAGGTAAATTCAAGTTTCTTGGTGAGGGGGCTTTTTTTTTTTAATTTACATAAAGGTAAAAGACTGGGATGGCCTTGAGCGTGTGTATCTTAACTTCTCTGATTTTTCCTGATCTTATAGTCAGCATTTGTGTTTGTCTATCCCATCCTCAGAAATCCCTAGAGTCCTTCCTGTGTGCTTTACTTCCATTATTATTTTTTTCTCTCTCTTTCCAGAAATACTGCCTGGTGACCAGCAGGTGAGATCAACTTGGCTCTACTCCTTTGCCCAACTTGTACTAGACTTCTAGGGTCACTAGCTGGCTTACCCTCTACTCACAATAAATCTGCAAACCCCTATTCACCCACTGCTGTGTCCCTGAACTTTGTATTGAACATAGACATGAACCAGACCTGGTCCTTATCCTTGAGGACTTTAGGGTAGACATGGGCAGGGACAGAGACATCATTGTGTGCTTGATACTGCTGGAGAGGGAAAGGGGTGGCCAGTGGGGGACAGAGTGAAGAGCAAGTGCAAGAACTGAAAGGGATGACAGCTTGGACTTTGTTTCAACAGAAGGTCCCCTGCCCACATTGTGGTTGAATGTATATAACAAAAATTTGGCCATTTTAAATGCATAGTTTTTGTTCAGTGGCATTAAGTATATTCATGTTATGCAACAACTATCTCCATCCATTTCCCATTTCCAGGATTTTCTTTCTTACTTTTTTTTTTTTACATTCCCAAACTGAAACTCCAGTAGAAGAGTTTTAAGCAGGAGTGTGATGTGGGGAGATCCTGGAGCTTCCTCTCCCATAGCTTCTGTCTTTCTGTCCTTGGGTACTTTCTCTTACTCTTCTTGCACACAATCACTTCTCTCTCATCTCTCCACCTCCAGACTACAGAAGATCCTGTCAGAGTCACCACCACCTGCACGTCTGGATATCCAACTGCCTGTGATCTCAGATGACTTCAAGTTTCAGGTGTGGAAGAAGATGTTCCGGGCTCTGATGCCAGGTACAGGGAGGGGCTGACTCAGGGTTTGTGTAATGGGGTGCAGGTGTTGATAGCAGACCCCAGCCACATGTAGAGAGGCCTGCCAACCCCAGCTTGGAAGGTGCCCATTGCCGTTTTACCTCTGCAGCCCTATAACTTGTACTTGGAGGAGGACCTTTAAGGGCATGGGGTTGACAGTGGGTTACTGACAAGGAAAGAATGCAGCTAATCTCGGGTTTTGCTGCTGCAGCAGATGGGAGGCTGGGGCCTGGGTTTGAACCATTGATTCCCTGTATGATCCTTGGCCAGTCCCAGCCCTTCTCTGGGTATGGAGTTGATGATTTCTGCTAATTGGGGGCTAAGGATCTGCAGAATTCTTGGAACCTTGAGGACTCTGGCCTAGGTGAGACACTGATATTAATGGCCTATATTTGGGGAGGTCCAAGAATTCAGCCTCCATTCCAATGAGCTAGAGCACCTCTGAGTGCTATAGGTTACAGAGCTCCATACAAACACTTATGCCTTGTGCCGCCCTTACTGCCTCTGAGGGTTGGGGTGGATTGGAGGTGCCACCAGCATATTTAAGAGACAACTATGGCCCAGAGGATAGGTCAAGCTAGAATATGAACTGTTCTATTTCTTGCTCTGTGACCCTGGACCTCACTCAGACAGTCAGTGTATTCCTTATATCAACTTAGTCTTGCTCCCCACCACCTAGAGAGGTAATCACGGCCTCATTTTACACCTGAGCAAACTGAAGTTCAGTGGTGTGTTTTTGGCCCTAGCTAGAAAGCAGAGAGGGGCCCACATCCAGAGATATTGAGAGGATTAGAGGAAACAAGCTGGCCCTACGCTGGTAGAGAGGAGGCTCAAGGAGGCAAGGGCCTGACTACTGTCTCTCTGGCAGCGCTAGAGGAGCTGACTTTTGACCCAAGCTCAGCGCACCCCAGTCTGGTGGTGTCTCCCTCTGGCCGCCGTGTGGAATGCTCAGAGCAGAAAGCGCCGCCAGCGGGCGAGGATACTCGCCAGTTCGACAAGGCCGTGGCGGTGGTGGCGCACCAGCTGCTCTCTGATGGCGAGCACTACTGGGAGGTAGAGGTGGGCGACAAGCCTCGCTGGGCTCTCGGCGTGATGGCAGCGGATGCCACCCGACGTGGCCGACTGCATGCAGTACCCTCACAGGGCCTTTGGCTGCTGGGGCTGCGCGATGGCAAGATCCTGGAGGCACACGTGGAGGCCAAGGAGCCACGTGCTCTGCGAAACTCTGACAGGCGGCCTTCACGGGTGGGCCTCTACCTAAGCTTCTGTGATGGTGTCCTCTCTTTCTATGATGCTAGTAATTCCGACGCGCTCGAGCTGCTCTTCGCCTTCCACGAGCGCCTGCCTGGGCCGGTGTATCCCTTCTTTGACGTGTGCTGGCATGACAAGGGCAAGAACGCTCAGCCGCTACTGCTCGTGGGGCCTGATGGGGAGGAGGCCTGAGCCACCTGTCTGGGTGGGAGAGGGGTGCTGGGGTCCTGACCATAGGAGGCTTAGTCTCCTTTGTCAGGCCTGGAGGGACTTGGGTGGGGGGCGGGTGGCCAGGGCTGGAGACAGGGCAGAGGGGCTGGATACTGGGGTGTCTCCAAAAGTTCTGAAAAGTATGGGAGTTGGCATAAGCGGGAACAACTGAGAGGGATTAGGGTGTCCTTGTGAATGGGGCCCATAAGGAAGGGAGATCCAGAGTCAGGTCAGTTAGGTAATCTTTCTCTGGGGACCAAGAGGCCCAGAGTTCCAGGAAGAAACTGAGGTTGAGGGAGAAGAGGGAATGTGGGTTAGATTTGGTGAAGATTGAGGTGAGAAGTTTGAGAAATCTGTAGAAGGGGTGCCTGGAGCCTCACATCCCACTCCTCTGTAAGGCCCTGGGGCAGGAGCTCTAGACTCCCCAAACCTGAAGACCTTTTACTTAGTGCTTGTTTCAGATGGTCTTTTTCAAATCATGAAGTAGTGACTAGATAAAACATAGTTGATTTTCTGATGCAGTAGATCTGAGGCAACAAGAAATGATCACTTTTAATAAGTTCACTGGGGATCCTAATACTGCTGGTCACAGTGGGATCACACTTAGAAGCACACCCTGCCTCTTTAGCCAGCCATTAGTTAGATCAAGTCATAAGTCTAAAATATATTCCTCCATTCTACAGACATTTAAAAACTGCCAGAGCCTTGGTGGGTAAATAAGTCAAACTTCAACTTATTTCCCTTTGCTTCTGGAATGTCTTAGACACCGAGGAAATCCCCCAGGTTGCCCACCAAGAGAAAAAACCTGATGCTAAACCCTCTTTGGGCCCTGCTGCTTGTGGAAAATAAAAGATTCCCACTAGGGTTTACAGAATTGGCCTCTCACTACTTACTTCTTGGTTCACACCTTTAGTTTTATCTCAGAGGCTGCTCCAGAGTAACCATTAAGGCTCAAGGTAAGTTTGCTGGAGGGAGAGGCCTTTGGGGATTTGAGCAGGTAGGATTGGAGGCTGCTCTACCATTTATCCAAAGGGAAGGTGATGGCCCTGATCATTCACTCTCATAGGCTAGATCTCTCACTACTGCTATGTGACAGACAGAGCCTGGGGTCCCCTGGCTCCTGAATCTGTGTGGGGATTTTCTTGTTGGGGGCTAATTATGGGACTGAGAAGGTAAAAGGAGATTGTGGGTGGGATAAGAAAGACTTAAAGGGGGAATACATTTGAGTGTGTTTCTCAGAGGGAGGCCTGTAGACCTTGGCTTTGGGAGACATGGAGGATTAATTTAAGAAATTCTTTCATGCTAGAAAGTAAAGCAATAAAGTTAAAAGGATTACTTGGTTGTAGAATCCAGCACCATTAATAAAAACTATTATAATCGAGCTTCTTCATTAAATCTGTGTGAAGAGATAAATGACCTGTTTTTAGACAGTTGCCTTCGAATTGCCCTCTTTGCCTTTAGATGATCTTTCTAAAAAAAAAAAAAAAAAAAAGTTTCATCCCCAGCATTGGAAAATAAAAACAAAAACAAAAAACAAGCAAATGACTCCCACAACAACCTACAAATGTGGTCAGATGTTTTAGTTGCTCAAAACTTTCAACAACTCCCTGTTGCCTACAGGATCAAGCCCTAAGTCTTTGGCTCTGCATTTGAGGTGCCCAGTCATTCTCCTTGCTCACCCTCTATCACTGTCCCATGTATTTCTACACTTGGGCCCTATAGAATTCTTGGGGCCCCTACACTCCCTACATCTTGGAACTCTCTCTCTAGGAATGCCTTCAAGACACTCCAAACACTACAATTTATTTTCCTGTCTTGACTGTCTAAGCCTCCAGAGTTACTGTCCATTCTGAATCTCTCAAGCACCTTCTTCCTAATGTACATCCATGGCATTGAACTTTCTATATGGGTGGCTGAGGAGAGATGCTGGTATCCAAGAGTCCCTAGTCTCTTTCTCAGGAAGTGGGTACCTGAGAAGGAGATACCAAAATTAAATATTCAAGAACTTTATAAGGGCAGATACCTGTGTGAGAGAAAATGGGGAGGGCCATCAGATTGTGATGAAATCCTACCCTGAGTGAAGGAGAGAAGATTGGAAGGAGAGAAGCATCTTTGACTGTTTTGGGGACTCCTGCAGCCAAAGCCAACTATCCGAGGAGTCCTGTGTCTTCCAGGTACTATCCTTGTCTTTGTCTCTCTGCTATGTTTAGTCAAAGTCTGACCTCTGTCATTTATGTTCCCTTTGGTTGAAATTATGTCAGGAAACTTTCTTTTCACAGTGGCCACATGTTCTTGCTGCATAGAGTTGCCCAGACTTGAGCTGTGTGCATTGATGGGAATGATCCCATGTCTGCCATGGCTGACTGGGTGAGAGATGGAGTTTGTGGGCAACTCCTAGAGAGAGAGTTCCTTGTTGAGTGGTCTGACCCAGTCAATCTCCCTTGGGATGTAAGATGATGAAATGTAAACAAAGAAGTGGATCCTTTCAGCATTTGTGTCCTAGAGGACAGTATCTCCTCTTTTAGTACTATTATGGTGTGAATATCGTTTGTCCACACCAAAATTGACTCTTGTTTCCAGTGTAATGATGGTCTTTCTTTCTTTTAAATATTTATTTTTTAGTTTTTTTTGGGTGGACACAATATCTTTATTTTATTTTTA